ATGTTATGTGAACAAGTATATAAAATAAATAAATAATATTAAATATATGCACAGTTTAACTATTTGAGCAGTGAAATAATGAAATGAATAAACATTTAGCTATATAGGCGGTTCCGGCAGATATATTAGTGTATGAGTGTTTAAATGTGTTTTGGATAATTTCCAAAGTGTTTTACAAAATTTACAAATTTTCACTTTACTTCACTTCACTTTACAAAGTGTTTTATAATTAGACGTTAAATTTTTGCTCTGTGTCCCTTCTTTAATGTCTGCTGTCAGAACACGCTAAGGACCACAGCAGGCGCCTCAACAACATTCCTCACCATGTTCATCAGTGCCTCAAAGGACAACACTGCCAAGGTAAGAACTTACTAATGTAAATGGTTGATGTGATAACAGTTGTTGAAAAATGTTATAAATAAAGTCATCAGAATGACACCTGGCTGGCCATCAAGGAGAACGCCCAGAGAAGAGTATTGTTTTTAACCTTAAAAATGAAATTTACGCCCTCCGGTGGCTCAAACGTGCAACTGCATATATAAACTAGTTCCCTCCAAAGGGTTGTCTGCTCCATGTGTGGCTGAATATTTAAGGCAATAGGTTTACGCCCTCCGGTGGCTCAAACGTGCAACTGCATATATAAACTAGTTCCCTCCAAAGGGTTGTCTGCTCCATGTGTGGCTGAATATTTAAGGCAATAGGTTTACGCCCTCCGGTGGCTCAAACGTGCAACTGCATATATAAACTAGTTCCCTCCAAAGGGTTGTCTGCTCCATGTGTGGCTGAATATTTAAGGCAATAGGTTTACGCCCTCCGGTGGCTCAAACGTGCAACTGCATATATAAACTAGTTCCCTCCAAAGGGTTGTCTGCTCCATGTGTGGCTGAATATTTAAGGCAATAGGTTTACGCCCTCCGGTGGCTCAAACGTGCAACTGCATATATAAACTAGTTCCCTCCAAAGGGTTGTCTGCTCCATGTGTGGCTGAATATTTAAGGCAATAGGTTTACGCCCTCCGGTGGCTCAAACGTGCAACTGCATATATAAACTAGTTCCCTCCAAAGGGTTGTCTGCTCCATGTGTGGCTGAATATTTAAGGCAATAGGTTTACGCCCTCCGGTGGCTCAAACGTGCAACTGCATATATAAACTAGTTCCCTCCAAAGGGTTGTCTGCTCCATGTGTGGCTGAATATTTAAGGCAATAGGTTTACGCCCTCCGGTGGCTCAAACGTGCAACTGCATATATAAACTAGTTCCCTCCAAAGGGTTGTCTGCTCCATGTGTGGCTGAATATTTAAGGCAATAGGTTTACGCCCTCCGGTGGCTCAAACGTGCAACTGCATATATAAACTAGTTCCCTCCAAAGGGTTGTCTGCTCCATGTGTGGCTGAATATTTAAGGCAATAGGTTTACGCCCTCCGGTGGCTCAAACGTGCAACTGCATATATAAACTAGTTCCCTCCAAAGGGTTGTCTGCTCCATGTGTGGCTGAATATTTAAGGCAATAGGTTTACGCCCTCCGGTGGCTCAAACGTGCAACTGCATATATAAACTAGTTCCCTCCAAAGGGTTGTCTGCTCCATGTGTGGCTGAATATTTAAGGCAATAGGTTTACGCCCTCCGGTGGCTCAAACGTGCAACTGCATATATAAACTAGTTCCCTCCAAAGGGTTGTCTGCTCCATGTGTGGCTGAATATTTAAGGCAATAGGTTTACGCCCTCCGGTGGCTCAAACGTGCAACTGCATATATAAACTAGTTCCCTCCAAAGGGTTGTCTGCTCCATGTGTGGCTGAATATTTAAGGCAATAGGTTTACGCCCTCCGGTGGCTCAAACGTGCAACTGCATATATAAACTAGTTCCCTCCAAAGGGTTGTCTGCTCCATGTGTGGCTGAATATTTAAGGCAATAGGTTTACGCCCTCCGGTGGCTCAAACGTGCAACTGCATATATAAACTAGTTCCCTCCAAAGGGTTGTCTGCTCCATGTGTGGCTGAATATTTAAGGCAATAGGTTTACGCCCTCCGGTGGCTCAAACGTGCAACTGCATATATAAACTAGTTCCCTCCAAAGGGTTGTCTGCTCCATGTGTGGCTGAATATTTAAGGCAATAGGTTTACGCCCTCCGGTGGCTCAAACGTGCAACTGCATATATAAACTAGTTCCCTCCAAAGGGTTGTCTGCTCCATGTGTGGCTGAATATTTAAGGCAATAGGTTTACGCCCTCCGGTGGCTCAAACGTGCAACTGCATATATAAACTAGTTCCCTCCAAAGGGTTGTCTGCTCCATGTGTGGCTGAATATTTAAGGCAATAGGTTTACGCCCTCCGGTGGCTCAAACGTGCAACTGCATATATAAACTAGTTCCCTCCAAAGGGTTGTCTGCTCCATGTGTGGCTGAATATTTAAGGCAATAGGTTTACGCCCTCCGGTGGCTCAAACGTGCAACTGCATATATAAACTAGTTCCCTCCAAAGGGTTGTCTGCTCCATGTGTGGCTGAATATTTAAGGCAATAGGTTTACGCCCTCCGGTGGCTCAAACGTGCAACTGCATATATAAACTAGTTCCCTCCAAAGGGTTGTCTGCTCCATGTGTGGCTGAATATTTAAGGCAATAGGTTTACGCCCTCCGGTGGCTCAAACGTGCAACTGCATATATAAACTAGTTCCCTCCAAAGGGTTGTCTGCTCCATGTGTGGCTGAATATTTAAGGCAATAGGTTTACGCCCTCCGGTGGCTCAAACGTGCAACTGCATATATAAACTAGTTCCCTCCAAAGGGTTGTCTGCTCCATGTGTGGCTGAATATTTAAGGCAATAGGTTTACGCCCTCCGGTGGCTCAAACGTGCAACTGCATATATAAACTAGTTCCCTCCAAAGGGTTGTCTGCTCCATGTGTGGCTGAATATTTAAGGCAATAGGTTTACGCCCTCCGGTGGCTCAAACGTGCAACTGCATATATAAACTAGTTCCCTCCAAAGGGTTGTCTGCTCCATGTGTGGCTGAATATTTAAGGCAATAGGTTTACGCCCTCCGGTGGCTCAAACGTGCAACTGCATATATAAACTAGTTCCCTCCAAAGGGTTGTCTGCTCCATGTGTGGCTGAATATTTAAGGCAATAGGTTTACGCCCTCCGGTGGCTCAAACGTGCAACTGCATATATAAACTAGTTCCCTCCAAAGGGTTGTCTGCTCCATGTGTGGCTGAATATTTAAGGCAATAGGTTTACGCCCTCCGGTGGCTCAAACGTGCAACTGCATATATAAACTAGTTCCCTCCAAAGGGTTGTCTGCTCCATGTGTGGCTGAATATTTAAGGCAATAGGTTTACGCCCTCCGGTGGCTCAAACGTGCAACTGCATATATAAACTAGTTCCCTCCAAAGGGTTGTCTGCTCCATGTGTGGCTGAATATTTAAGGCAATAGGTTTACGCCCTCCGGTGGCTCAAACGTGCAACTGCATATATAAACTAGTTCCCTCCAAAGGGTTGTCTGCTCCATGTGTGGCTGAATATTTAAGGCAATAGGTTTACGCCCTCCGGTGGCTCAAACGTGCAACTGCATATATAAACTAGTTCCCTCCAAAGGGTTGTCTGCTCCATGTGTGGCTGAATATTTAAGGCAATAGGTTTACGCCCTCCGGTGGCTCAAACGTGCAACTGCATATATAAACTAGTTCCCTCCAAAGGGTTGTCTGCTCCATGTGTGGCTGAATATTTAAGGCAATAGGTTTACGCCCTCCGGTGGCTCAAACGTGCAACTGCATATATAAACTAGTTCCCTCCAAAGGGTTGTCTGCTCCATGTGTGGCTGAATATTTAAGGCAATAGGTTTACGCCCTCCGGTGGCTCAAACGTGCAACTGCATATATAAACTAGTTCCCTCCAAAGGGTTGTCTGCTCCATGTGTGGCTGAATATTTAAGGCAATAGGTTTACGCCCTCCGGTGGCTCAAACGTGCAACTGCATATATAAACTAGTTCCCTCCAAAGGGTTGTCTGCTCCATGTGTGGCTGAATATTTAAGGCAATAGGTTTACGCCCTCCGGTGGCTCAAACGTGCAACTGCATATATAAACTAGTTCCCTCCAAAGGGTTGTCTGCTCCATGTGTGGCTGAATATTTAAGGCAATAGGTTTACGCCCTCCGGTGGCTCAAACGTGCAACTGCATATATAAACTAGTTCCCTCCAAAGGGTTGTCTGCTCCATGTGTGGCTGAATATTTAAGGCAATAGGTTTACGCCCTCCGGTGGCTCAAACGTGCAACTGCATATATAAACTAGTTCCCTCCAAAGGGTTGTCTGCTCCATGTGTGGCTGAATATTTAAGGCAATAGGTTTACGCCCTCCGGTGGCTCAAACGTGCAACTGCATATATAAACTAGTTCCCTCCAAAGGGTTGTCTGCTCCATGTGTGGCTGAATATTTAAGGCAATAGGTTTACGCCCTCCGGTGGCTCAAACGTGCAACTGCATATATAAACTAGTTCCCTCCAAAGGGTTGTCTGCTCCATGTGTGGCTGAATATTTAAGGCAATAGGTTTACGCCCTCCGGTGGCTCAAACGTGCAACTGCATATATAAACTAGTTCCCTCCAAAGGGTTGTCTGCTCCATGTGTGGCTGAATATTTAAGGCAATAGGTTTACGCCCTCCGGTGGCTCAAACGTGCAACTGCATATATAAACTAGTTCCCTCCAAAGGGTTGTCTGCTCCATGTGTGGCTGAATATTTAAGGCAATAGGTTTACGCCCTCCGGTGGCTCAAACGTGCAACTGCATATATAAACTAGTTCCCTCCAAAGGGTTGTCTGCTCCATGTGTGGCTGAATATTTAAGGCAATAGGTTTACGCCCTCCGGTGGCTCAAACGTGCAACTGCATATATAAACTAGTTCCCTCCAAAGGGTTGTCTGCTCCATGTGTGGCTGAATATTTAAGGCAATAGGTTTACGCCCTCCGGTGGCTCAAACGTGCAACTGCATATATAAACTAGTTCCCTCCAAAGGGTTGTCTGCTCCATGTGTGGCTGAATATTTAAGGCAATAGGTTTACGCCCTCCGGTGGCTCAAACGTGCAACTGCATATATAAACTAGTTCCCTCCAAAGGGTTGTCTGCTCCATGTGTGGCTGAATATTTAAGGCAATAGGTTTACGCCCTCCGGTGGCTCAAACGTGCAACTGCATATATAAACTAGTTCCCTCCAAAGGGTTGTCTGCTCCATGTGTGGCTGAATATTTAAGGCAATAGGTTTACGCCCTCCGGTGGCTCAAACGTGCAACTGCATATATAAACTAGTTCCCTCCAAAGGGTTGTCTGCTCCATGTGTGGCTGAATATTTAAGGCAATAGGTTTACGCCCTCCGGTGGCTCAAACGTGCAACTGCATATATAAACTAGTTCCCTCCAAAGGGTTGTCTGCTCCATGTGTGGCTGAATATTTAAGGCAATAGGTTTACGCCCTCCGGTGGCTCAAACG